AGTAAAATTACATAAAAACTTCTATCCGCCGAGGTAGAGGTGCACTTTAACTATCGTAGTAGCAAAAAGTATGTCAGTTTTTGAGACATGGCTGATACTATAAGAATACTTATATTAATAGCTACCCGTGCTTTTAATTTAGCAACGTTTATCCTAAGAATTTCCTTGAAAATGATTTCAAATAAGTTTTCGTCAAAAACTGTATACGCCACTTTTGTCAACGCCACCTATTTTCCATGTTCTATTAAACTTTAGGAATCGGTGAAGTTCAAATCGGGAAGTGGCAACGCTGAGTTTCTGTAATCTGTGAACAGCGGCTTGATGAGCGGCTATATTTTTGACAGTTGACATGTGAACGTCTGGTGTAGTTTGTGTACACAATTTTTTCAAGGTAAGATTTGTGCATAATAAAGTAAGTTTGATTGTTACACGAAAAACAAATAGTGCATCATGTTAGTAGAAGTGAAAGCCATGTTTGGAGCTACAATGCAACTCAAATCATACTTTATTTACAGAGATATAAGTGGTTTTCTCAACGCGACGATAGCGTAGAAGTAGAAATACGCCACCATTTTGGTACTTCAACGCCAACGGTAGCGTAGATATTCGTCACCTCCTCTACGCCACCAAATATCCACTCGTTTTTATTATACTAACTTTTTACCTGACTGCCGAAGAAAGGAGGGTAATGTTTTTCGAGAGTGTATGTATGTATACTAACTAAACCCATTCGTGTAATTTCAGCTCGTATTTCTTAGGCTGCAAGGCATAGATCACGGTAACATAATGGTCAGTGCATCTGCCCGGATAGCGGAGGGTGCAGTTTCGAGTCCCGTCTGCTGCCTGGACCGCGTGGAATTTTTTTTAGTAAAAAATTTCTTTAGATTTATAATCTAGCAAATAAATGCTTTAAAAAATAAAAATATAATAAATGTCTAGTTGATTATAAAATTGTTGATGTTTTTATTTACTTAGATATAGGTAACTACTTCTTATTCTAAATTCAACGAGCTGGTCCATTAGTGGGGGTTCATTATTAAATTGTGTTCATTATTAGATGTCCATATTTGGTGCATGTTCATCACTGGATGTCCATTAAATGATTTTCCTTGTCCATTACTACCTTAAAAAACCGTGTTTATATTTTAATGATATCTCTCATTTTTATGCGGTTATTTCTATCTTTTTCGGCATAAGCATAAAGGAAAAAAGACGGACATTAAGCTCAACATTGATGTTTAAACAAAATCCTGGTATATTAGGAATAATCCTGCAAAAACCCACCTTTTAATCCTTAAAGTGTCCATAATTGGTGCAATTACGTTATACAACATAATTTAATCTTAATATTTTGGCATGTGTATGCCAACCTTAACATTTATTCGTCACTATTATACGCTACTCAACGTCACCGACGCGTAGAAGTTTCTACGCCACCAACACAATACTTCTGCGCCATATCAGCAAAAAATGGCGGCCTGACCCATATATCATCAAGATAAATAACAGACAACAAATGTTGTGATCGTAAATGATGTGCGACGGGTCTTAATAATTTAGTAAAAACAAACGGCGCCGTGCATAAACCGAAGGAAAGGCAGTTAAATTCGTATAAAATGCTGTTATAGTGAAACCGTAGGTACTTTTTATGTGATTTATGTATAGGAACGAAAAAATAACTATCTTGGAGATCAATTGTAGCCATATAAGAGTTTTTATTTACTAGTTTTGTAGCAGTGCGGTAATCCTCCATTTTAAAATGGTTGGTTTCAATGAACTTATTTAATGCCTTTAAATTTAATATAAATCTTTTGTCACCATTCGGTTTAGGCACCAAAAATATTGGAGAAGTAAATTGACCTTGCTCATGTTTACATTGTGAGATCGCCTTGATGTCTAGTAATTTACGAATCGATTGAATGAATTCTGAATGTTCTTTTTTAACTTTTTGGCATAACATTAATGTTATAAGTGCACTGTGGAGTGCTAGTAAAAGGTATTCGATAACCTTTTAACCAAGACAAAATTGTTGCATCGCTAGTTATCGCTGACCATTCATGTATAATTTTCTCTCCAGTTTTTTAATTTTCCGTTTAATTTCTTCCTCTGTTTTCTCAGCTTTTCTTTTCCTTCCCATTGTTGAAAGGTAATAAGACGATAATTTTAACTGTAGATTTAAAGTATGCAGTTAGGTACTGGGTAGACGTGCGAAGGCTTGAGCACGGAGACACAGAAATGAGCCTCGAATCTGACAATCGCACCGCCACTGTAAAAGATATCTTCCTACCTCCAAAAAAAAAACTCAAAAAACCCTGCCAACGCATAGGGATGCTGGTACAAAACGTTAACAATAAATCGCAAAGAATGAAGCTGTGAAACATAATTACCACTATACGACTGCAATTTAATAGTATCTTTCGTATTTATTACATTCGGGTTAAGACCTAATTACAAAAGTCTTTTGTAATACAGGACATTAATATCTGCGACAGTGTCTAATTTAAACTTTTCATGATCACACCCACCTTTCAATGTTTCATACCAGTCTTCTGAGCAGCTTTTCAACTCCGACACATTGTACAACATCGATATATAAAACGAATCACTATCATCACTTTGATCACTACGCACGGCAATATCGTGCATATTAAGTGCTTTATCATTTCTTTTAATTTTACACATTCGAGCAAAATGACCAAAATTTTCACACACGTAACATTGCACTGCCGTAGCCGGACAGGTGGCAGGCCCGGCACACTGACCGCCACACCTCTCCCAACGATACGGTGAACGCTGAGGGCGCCTCACAGCGTTGGAGCCCGTCGCAGCTGCGACGTACCCTCGGCGCCTGACGCCGCCGGCACCACGGCCGCCGCGGGCCCCGCCGCTGCCTCTACCACGCATGCCGATACTATCCACCTGCTTCGCAGATCCCAGACCTACCTCTCGAGTCTCCAATAGACGGGTGCTGTCGCTCGATATTTCATCCACTTGACAAATCTTAATTGTTTTGTCCAAATTTAATTCCTCAGTTCTCAATAACCGCTCTCGAAAGACAGTGTTCTTTATGCCACAGACGATACGGTCGCGAATCAAATCATCTTCGAGTGTTTTAAACTCACAAGATTTTGCTAATAACTTCAAACTAGTCACATATTGATTAATCGACTCGCCGACTTCTTGATTCCTTATAAAGAAGTTGTATCTCGCTAAAGTGATATTCGGCCGAAATAATAATCAAATTTTTTGATGAGCACGGTGACGTCATCTCTCTCACTTTCTTGTTCAAATGTAAATGTTTGATAAACATTGAATCCGTCCGATCCAATCAAATTTATCAATAGACTAGCTTGAACATCTTCTTTTTCTTTATGAACCCCCGATGCCTTGAGGAACAGATTAAATTGTGTCTTCCATCGTTTCCATGCATCAGCCCGGCTGACGGAGCTGCCTTCCAAACTCAACTCAGGCGGCGGTCGCGCGTGTTCCATATCGTACAATTTTAATTATTAAACCAATGGAAATTGTAATTTGTCACACGTTTTGACTATCACAATTAGTTTTATCACGTAATTATTACAAAAACATCACTATCACCATGTTACGTAATGAAACAAAGGAATCTGGCAAACAACTGATTTATTGATACCCACATTATGTTAATTACAAAATACCCACAGAAATGTATTAATTATTTTAAAATAAAGTTTATTTTTGCATGTACCATGTATTATTCCAAGCAAAAACGCCCCTCCAGAAAATCATTCAAAGCAAAAATGACATTTACGTCCCACCGCATAATGCTTTATTTCCAACGATCGTGGTAAAATCACATTGCGCCGACCAACTGAGTTGTTTACTTCAAAGTTTACATGTGCGAAAAAGAGATAGAAACAATACTTTTATAATGTCAGTATTGCGGCGGGAGGCGTCATCTAGAACTAAGCTACTTTTTATTTTTTTAAAGTTACCGAAATATATTTTTTTTAACGTGAGCGAAGCCGCGGGTAAAATATAATTCTTTATTTTACATAAAATACTAAAACTATACCTAATTTCGTGATTATCCCCATATTGAGTTTTTGTGTTCCTCATTAAGACACTTCGTCATATACGAGCCAGTGTATAGGATATCTAACAAATGCTATATTGTTTGTCACTTCTAGTAAAATTATAGGGCAACATCTCAAGTGGGGGAGACTGGGACATCTAAAAATTAAAGTCCCAGTTGTCACCCGTGTCGTTGGTAGAGGGGACAACTGGGAGGTTTTTATAAAAAATACCCAATGGTCCCCCAAGGGGGAAAGGCTAGAGGGGACTACTGGGATACATTGCCTAAACGATGCTACCTAGTCCGTAATTTAAAAAGTAATTTACAATTAAGAGCGGACGCAAGCTGAGACCTTCAAAAATTTGTATTTGAAACAACTATTGCTGTCGCGCATTGGCAAATACCGTGCGATAGGAACAACAGGAGTATCCGCTGAATATTTCTAATACAACTTGAAAAATTAAAAGGTTTGGCTTTCGACGACTTCCTCTTAGAAAATTAGACATACTTCTAAATAAGAAATTTAAAACATAGAATAATAAGTTAGTTGTACTAGGTAGGGGTTATTATTCTAAGGGTCTCTTATTTTTCAATATCATTTTGATTTTTATAAAACTTATTGAATATCTCCTTATTAGACGTTTTTAGGGTGATACTTTTTATTTTAAGGGTTTCTGGTTGCTTTGTAAAACAAGATATCGAAAAAAGGAAGACATAGGAGCATACAATGAGTAAAAATATATTTTCTGTATAAAAATCATTTCAAGGAGGAATCAGTCGAGACGTTTGTATGGAATAAACACCGCCCGCCTTCCATCTAAATCAAAATATCTAGTGAAAGCAAAACAAACATAAACAAATAAATCAAACTATCGATTCCGTTAGTAGAACAAGTATGGCAGAAAAACCGAAATTCTTCAAGCTTCTTTGAATTTGAGATTTAAAAAATAAAACAAGCAATTATAATTTATTCAAGTTTATTTTTGCACAAACAGCCAGTCCTGTGCATTATATTAATGCTAAATAAATTGCCCTTTATATTCCTACCAAGCTAGCTATGTAAACATTACTTGAACATGAAATAAAACGAAAGGAACTTAACATTTATACTTTGACTATAACTAATACAATAAATGTGTTGTTTTCTTCTGCACAAAGAAGGTAAGTTATTTATGTTTAGATTTTTTCTTCTTCTTACTCGACTTCTTCTTGTGTTTTCGTTTCTTTTTCTTCTTCTTGTGATCATCAGAGTCAGAGTCGGACTCGCTGTCGCTGTCGCTAACAGCTCGTTTTTTCTTTTTCTTTGTCCGCTTCTTCTTCTTTTTCTTTCTACGTGCATCAGAAGAGGACGACGATGAAGAATCGTCAGATTCACTAGAAGATTCAGTTTCTGAATCTGGCTTCTTCTTAACATTTGTTAGATCTAATTTGATCGTTTCTGTCTCCAATTTGGTTTTTTTGGATTCGGAGTGGCCTCCTCCTGGTGAAACTGAATGTTCTCTTTTCTTAGATATGTCTTCTTTGGCTTCATTGTCTGATTCTAAGTTTTCATCATAATCTGGTTCAAAATGTGCTTCATCCAGAATAGATTTCTTTCTTTCACGATCTGTGTTTAGATTCTTGATGTTCGGCGTCTCTTTATCTTGACGATAATCGGGGTTATCAATCTTTTTATCGTCTTTAGATTTTTTCTCAAATTCCCTTTTATTGACTTCATTCCCAGGGCTCTTATGGCGATACTTTTCTGTTGTTTTTGAGCCCTCTGACACTACCCTTCGGTCAGATTTTAAGGAATCAGGTCTACCAAATGCATCAGATTTTCGAACTCTTGCTCTATCTACCATCACTCGACGATATGGTTTCTCTTTATTAGGTGTTTTGGATCGTGATTTTACCCGTTCTACAGTACTATGCACTACACGGGTTTCTCTGGGTCTTCGTACATCTTCTACTTTTCCTCCTAATCGCTCTTTGACTGAAAGCCTTGGAGGCGGTGTTTTAGAAGATCTTTTTTTCTCATTCAATTCTATCGCCCTTGCTTCAGAATCAGTGACTGGAACAGTAATTTGAATATTGTTCAAAGACCCTTTAGGTTGATCATCGCCGTATAACTTCAAGCGGTCGCTGCTTATTTTCTTTATTTCTATAGGTCTTAATGAATTGATCGCTTTAGCGAATATAGCATTTTCAGCTCGTTTGATAACGTCAGATGTTACTTTTCCACAATCATCCTCTTCTTCGGGTGATGTGATTTCACCGGGTTCTTTAGACTTATCCAAAGCTTCTTCATCCACTTCCCACTTTGATAATTCTGGTAAGGGTGCCAACATTTCCTTGTTTTGTGTAACGTTTTCGGTCTCTATTTTCAAATCTAATTCATCAGCATTTGCTTGAAGTTCAATGCCATCAAATGGTTCATCCCTATTTGCAATATCTGCATTGTTCTTTTCATTACCTGCATCTTCTGACTTGACGTAATTTTGGATAATATCCTTATCTACTGCTCCCACGTCATCGCCATATAAATCATTTTGAGGCTTACTTTCTGTTTCTACCTTAGGTGACTGAACTTTGACTACATTTTCAACTGTGTCATTATTTGTATTTTCACCAGGATTTTCAAGTTTAACCTTCTGCAATTCCGGCTCTTCTTTTATATCAATTTTAGATATAGTATTTTCAGAATCTTCATCATCTTCTTTTTTAGAATCTTTATCCTTCTTTTCTTTCTTTTCACGTCTCTTTTTCTTATCTAATTCTTTTTCCTTTTCTTTTTCCCTCTTCTTCTTTTTTCTCTCTTTAATTTTCTTATCTTTGTCTTTATGATCTCTGTTTCTGTCCGCAGAAGATTTATCACGAGATCTGTCTTCTTTCTTTTCACGTTTATTTTCTCTTTCCCGGGACCTTCCTCTGGATTCGCTTCGCTTTTTATCCCTTACCTCACGATTACGTTTAGGTGACATACGATTTTTCTTATCAGGGCTATTCATATCTCGATCACGATCTTTTTCGTACTCACGTGTACTTCTTTCGTAGTCTCGAGGGCGATCATCGCGTCCTTCACGCATTTCCCGAGACTTGTCATAACCAGTACGCTTTTCTAAATCTCGGACTCTATCTGGATGCCCATTTTCATTAAAGCGCTCTCTTTCACGGCCATGCCTTTCTTGTTCGATATTTGGATTGCGTCTCGAACCTCCTCTATTCCGTGGGTTAGGTGGTCTGTAACCGGGTCGCCCATGATCCCTAGTAACATTATTATCATCTCTGAAGCCATCACGATAACTTGGATCATGGTAATTGGGGGCTGGTTGCTCTCGCGGATCAGTACTTGGAGGCCGAAATGGCGGTGCTCCTTCACGGAAATTGTGGGGTTGATTTTCCCTATAACCACCGTCTCTATAAGGATTGTTCCTATACGAATTATCTCTAAATGGTGGGCCGCTTCTAAAGTTACCTTCCCTGTACGGTGGTCCTTGTGGTCCTTCTCGATAGCTCTGGCCGTCCCGAAAAGGCATTTGTCCTTGATCACGGTATGATCTATAATTATCGCGATATCTCGGTTGATCACCAACATGGATCGGTATCTCATTCGGAACGTTTGACATGGGAACGTCTCGAAATCCTCCCGGACCATCAACATATGGCGGTCTATAGGGTTCTCTATAATTTGGTGGTGGAAGTCTTTCTCTATCCAGAAGTCCGGGTGGATGGAATGGTGGTTTCTCAAATGGCGATGGTTCAAAACCAGGTACAGGCGGTTCCACACCCGGTGGTATGTCTTCAAATGGTGGTGCGTCATAACGGCCCCGGTAGCCCGGTGGTGGTTCCGATTGAATGGGAACAGTATCCATTGCCATCAAAGGTTTTATCGCCATAGGGGGATAGTTTGACGAAGGTGGATTGTTTCTGGAACCATATCTGGAAAGAAATTTAGAACTGTAAATTATGATTTACATTAAACGATAGGTAACCAATTGTAAATTACCCAAGCAGCCAAAGTGTCTCGATGGTCTTCCAACATTTTTCAGCTTTCAAAAATACTAAGTACCTACTTTTCAAATCTGTAGAAATTTTAAATATACTTAAGTGTGCGTTGATATAGGTACCTGAATTATAAAAAAAAACAGTGTAAAATTCATAGCATTCATCAGGTATTTATTACCTTGACCGAATAACTTCTATGATAGGAGACGGTTAAAAAATGGTATTCGGTGTCCGGCAGCTATGAAAAGTGTATCATTTGAAAGCTTATTTTACGTAATAACATGAACAAATAATATATTTTTTTTTATTTATCCCCAATAATTTTAAATTATGATTGAAATTTTAACAATTGCGTTAGGATTCTGGCAACGCAGTAATAAGTCACGTCATATATATAGTCTGAGGCAGCTCAATAATGTCAACTCAATCACTATGTTAAATGTTAATTGACGACGTGATGATATTCGTGAAATCATGGTCAACTTATTATACCAATTTATGATTGACTCTAATTGAAATAAAATACCTATAAAATACCTAATAACGCCATGAAAGACATAACGACTATCCCTGCTTGAGTTACCTATTGAATACAATATATTTTATGCTTTGGCAACTCAAAATTGATAAATAAACTTGCCATTCGCCAATCAATAATACAATTTTATATTCATAATAATTATTTAAAAAAAAAGGGGGATTATTTTTTTTTTGTTGCAAACGATTTACTTTTATGTGCATTACTTATGTCATAAACATTTTGAGTCTGCAGGAGAGACTACCACCCTTCATACAAATTTTAATCGTGTCATTTGCACTTTCATAATAACATAGGTACTTATTGAAATTATCTTTTAAATTATACATAGCATGTAGGTATTTATATAGTGCGATGAAGCATATTTTCAATCAACAAAATAAAATATTAATATCAAAAATATGTGGGTTCGATTATGATTATTCGATTAAATCGTAATAAAATAGATTTCATAAAAATAATGTTCGTATCAATTAACATGCACACTGGGTTTAAACATTGATAGGAAGGGTTGCTAATTGCTCGGATATTTTTATCTTATGTCTTTTTCATCACCACTAACAAATTGTTAGGATCTTCGAAAGAAGTTATTTTTAAAACCCCTGGGAGAAAATATGATAGGAAGTCATACCGACCAGCATGTGTAAAAATAAAAAATGTACGAGTTAGTTACGTTTTAATTTCGATAAACTTATAGGCGTTCGCAAAATCTGGATCTGTGCCATAAACGTCTTCCTGTTCAACGAATTAGAAATGAAGGAAGCATTACTGTATAACAAAGGCAGCTATAACGTGGTTCCAAACTCATACAACTGAATTTCAGTACTAACGCGACACGCACACAGATAATATTAGGTACTTGCATATGGAATTAGCGTTTTGTCGTACTGCCACTTTGATCAGAAATATCTAATATTTGGTTAAAAATTCAAAATTCAAAAAAATCATTTAGTTGGTACATTTGAGGCTGAAAACAGTCATTCATTTGTTTTTTTTTCTCATTTTTTTTTTTCTTGGGCGTCGCTTATTACAGCTCTATTTAAAACATGAAATATCGGTATATTTACGAGTAGGTAGGAGTTCTTCCGTGGCACCAGTGCTGCAGGAACAGCTCGAAGGATTATATTGATGTGTACGGCGCTGGTGTCGCAAAAGAAAGCAAGGTACGTTTTTGGTTTCAACATTTTCGTTCTGGAAATTTCGACCTTCAGAATCAACCCCGTGGACGGCCTGAGACCAAAGTGGAAAATGAAGAATTAAAGGCTATTGTGGAATCCATCACAAAGCACTTCAGAGATAGCTACAGGCTTCGGGGTACGTGCACTGCACAACAAACAACCACTAACTTAGATGAGCTACCATTGGAATGTCTGCGACATCCACCGTACTCTGCGGACCTTGCTCCAACAGATTACCATTTTTTCCGGAATTTGGACAACTTTTTACAAGGAAAAAATGCGATGCGGCAGTCCAAAACGCCTTCAAAGAGTTTATTGATTCTCGCACCCATGTTTTTTTAGTAAAGGGATTAATGAACTACCTATGAGATGGCAAAAGTGCACAGATAACAACGGTGCATACTTTGATTAATTAAATTTAATTTACAAAATAAAATTACTTTATATCTCCCGTACAAATAGTCCAGTATAAATAGACAAAAATAAATCATAACTTAGGAATAATTTGCATAGAGCAGAAAATTGGCAGAGACGTTAAATACATCATTATAAATAAAATAACAAAAATCCCATTCGATCCTACTTATGCAAAAAAAAAATTCAATGTCAAACGTCTGACCTATTTTCACGATAAAACTTACCGTTTTCGAGAAAAATGGAAATTACCATAATTTTGTACTTTTGACCTTGAATATATTTTTTTGCAGAAGTAGGTTCGAAGGGGATTTTTGACATTATATTTATAATGATGTATTTAACGTCTCTGCCAATTTTCAGCTCTATGCGAATTATTCCTAAGTCAAATGTCTATTTTGACTGGACTAAAAATAACAATTTCATATGTAAGGACCTAACAAAATAATTTGACAAATCAAATATCTACAAATGAATTCGGCTATACATTCTTTGGGTAAGAAAATGGCGTGTTGAGCGTATTTTGTAGCTCCACCCACTTTATCGCAGTTTGCGTGAAACCACTTTTTAACGCAATTCGTATTCCGTATCATTTCTAATTTGTTATTCTTGTTACATACAATTATTGCTTAACAAATTTAACCACGCTAATTTCCTCTAATGAAAACTACGAATATAGATGGGTAACAGTGCATGATGGTTTAAAACCGACAATTTACTAGTCGAACTTGCTTACAAGGAATTACAAGATGCCACTGCTGCAAATATGCCTAACACGTCAATAGACTAAGAAGCAGATTGCCTACCCATGAATGCCTTAATGTTATTTCGTCTACTAATCGAAATGCATAAAATGGACTATGTCTCTTTAATGCATAATGCGCAAGTTTGTTTGGAAACTGTTATTGTAATTCGATACTAGCACTTAAAAATTATAAGATCTATTTTGTCCTTATGCTCGGTTTTTAGTTTAAAAAATATTATTCTTAAGGAGCGTTCAAGGGTGTTTTTAAGGAATAGAAAGTTTGCTTATTGTTTCAAAAATAAAGTTTTTTTTTATTATGTATTAGTATTTTAAGTTACAAATTAACGGTAGACAGCAAACATTATTCATTCTAAGCAGTCTGCTTTTTAGTCAATGACGTGTTAGGCATTATTGCAGCAGTGGCCTCTTGTATTTTAGGCACTATGCTCATAACCGATTTAAAGCCAGAGCCGGATTTAAGACAAGGCAGGCGTGGCTGTGGCCCAGTGGCACGAGATAAGAAAGGAACGGAGATAAATTTGGACGAGCCACGAAACCAAAACAAATAAATTAGTATTAAGTAGTGTACGTACTGACTTGCATTTTAATATGAGCGGTGCAGAACTAAGCTGTTTAGCTGGCTGAAGTTGTGTTGTGCCGAGCAGTGGAGAGGAGACGAACACAGTGGAGCAAAGGAAGGATAAGTTCATTGAAGCTGTGAAGTGGAGATGAGCTGAGCGATTTATTAGCAGTCAGTTGAACGGTATCTTACAGACATTAAGGTCCCCAATGTGTTCAGTAAACAAAAAAAACAGCCGTCTATGCTTTACGACGAGCTGAGTGTCAGCTCAACTCCTCCAGTGCCTTATTTCACCAAGTCGACATATGTCACTGACATATGTAAGCAGACAGTTTGTTGTGGGGTGATCTATTATATCTATTTTTCTTTGAACGCAAAATCAATAAATCACAGGAGAAATTTATTCGTTCTTTATAAATTCTCCTGTATCAATACTCATCTTTTCAAGCTTTCGTGGAGAGCCGTTTTGGAACTAACAACGAAAACAGGACAATTGTAACGCAAATCTTATACAGCCCCGATTGAACTGACACTGATGAACATAGACCTCCCCCATGGATCTCCACACCGATCGGTCCTGCGCCACTCGCATCCATCGGCTTCCCGTGACCTTCACAAGATCGTCGGTCCACCTCGTAGGGGGCCTGCCCACTGAGCGTGCTGGTCGTCCGGTGCGTGGTCGCCATTCAAAAACCTTTAAGTAAGTAGTAGATAGCAAGAAGAACTGATAGTTTTCCCGCCGTTATGGATGATGTCCCGCCCACTATTAATTCAGCAGAGCAAGCCTTCGAGCCATATCGGTTACTTTGGTTCTCCTAAAGATTTCGTCATTTCTGATTCTAAAGCGTAGGAAAATACCGAGCATCGCTCTCTCCATTGCTTGCTGTGTGACTCTTCTTATGAGACCCGCAGTATAGGACCACGTCTCGCTTCCGTAGGTTACTGGCAAGAGACACTGGTCAAAGATTTTTGTCTTAAGAAACTGAGGTAATTTGGACGCGAAGATTTTCCGTATCTTCCTGAACGCTGCCCATCTGAGCTGGATACGACGAGAGATCTATTTCTCAAAGTTGGACTATCTAACTGGACTGTCTGTCCTAGGTAAACGTACCGGTCGATAAATACGAGTGTAGTGTTCTCAATTTTAATTGGAGCGGGTACTACATGGGCATTCGATATGATTTTCGTCTTATCCATGTACATCTTAAGACCCACTCTTTGGGAAGCACTACTAAATTCTTCGAGCATCGTGTTAAGATCTTCAAAGGTCTCAGCCATAAGAACTACATCATCGGCGAAACGAAAGTGCGAAAGGTACTCGCCATTAATTTTGATGCCTGGAGCTCTACTCTCTTTCTCCGAAACGAAATTTCGCAAGTGACTCTACTCTATTTCATTTTCGGACACGCACAATACGTTCGGATTCATAGACAATTTTCGTCAACGAATAGAATGAGTTGTGTTTTGTGAGTTCTTTTC